GATCCTGCCATGGTAAGTTCATTTGTGATTATTTGTTCTACTTATGATGATATTTGAGCTGGTGTTAGACTATGTGTTAGCTATTAGAATGGACATAAGCCCAAATTTTAGGGTTGAAGTGATTGTCAATAGATATACTTGCAAGAAATACATTAAGCTTGAATGCGCCTCAATATGACACCATATCTTTATTATTGAAAGATGAATTGATTTCATGCTGGAAGGTAAATAAATAACATATGCATTAGATCTAAGCTTTTATAAGATTTCAGTAGTCAAACATTAAAATGAATTTCCCAAGCGTCTACTCATGGCTTCTGCCTTCTGTTTGATCATCTTTTTATGGTTAAAAGCATATGATAATTTTATATCTGCAAAAAATATTTTTCCTAAGATTTTGCAATTACCAAATCTCACAATAATTAGATATAATAATTGTTGGGGTCGATGTAAATGTGTTCATTCTTTATTGAATCATGCCCCGTATTTGTATTGTATCGTATTTATATACATGTATTTGTATCGATTCATCATACTCTATGATTATATTTCTGCTATTACATGTATAATTTCATTGTTGTCACACGGACATTGTTTAAAGCATATTAAACAGCATCCTTTGAATGTTCGGCAGTTAATTCCCGAAATTGCACTTGCATCTTCAAATGAATTAACTGCATCAATCTTCCTTTAAATGTTTGGCGGCTTATTCATGAAATGAAACTTCACTTGTGTATTTCCTAATTGCCGTATCTGGAAATTTGTAGCTTCACAATGACAAATATCTTTTTCTCTTAATGCTTTCGTGGTTTTCACTGTTCTTACGTTATTTCTTTTTGTATTTAGAATGTGGAGGGAGATCAGACTCCTTGCTGCTGCAAAGCCAGTTATTGCGTCAATGTCTGACGTTGCTGCAAGTGGAGGATACTACATGGCAATGGCAGCAAATGCTGTGATTGCGGAGAATCTTACCTTGACTGGTTCAATTGGTGTTGTCACAGGTACATTTAGCTTCCAATTGTCTGAATCTTAGGGCTGCAAACGAACCGAGCCGAGCCGAGTATGTGAGTGTTTATGTTTGTGTTTGTTTAACATTAGCTTGTTCATGTTTGGTTCGTGTTTGATTCGAGCTTTATTATTTGTGTTCATGTTTGGTTCGTTTAATTTAAGGGTGTTCATGTTTGGTTCATGTTCGTTTGTTTAGTGCTTATCGAGCTTTAAACGAGCTATGTTCGTGAACATATCTCGCAAACAATCTATTGAACAAGCAAACATTAAATTTGTTCATGAACATTCTAAACAAACAATCTAACAAACATGGACAAATATGAAATATTTCTTATTCATGAAATGAAATTTCTAAAATAAAAGCAGTTGTATATTTAAAATGAAAATATGATTAATTTATATGAACATATGTTATAATATTTTATTACTTTTAAATTTATTAATAAAAAATAATTATATTATATTATAGTATAATTAAAGTTTTTATATTTAATCGAACTCGAATCGAGCTTTTTATTGAGCTTGTTCATGAACATCAACTGATATTGTTCGCGAACATAAACGAGCTGAACGCATTAGTGTTCAAGCTTGTTTATTTAAGAATCGAGTATTTAAAATATTGTTCAAGTTCGTTTGTTAGTTAATTAAACGATCACGAACGAGCTTTAATCGAACCGAACAACGAGCAGTTCGTCGAACGTTTGGTTCGCTTGCAGCCCTATGTCTGATAATGTTGAATTATTTTTGGTTTGTTGATGTTTATTCAATGTTGCAAAGAACTGTGTACCTTAACACTTTCTTAAAATTTATAGAAGCATGATAGTGATATCCAAACACATTCCATGGTTCCTAGGTATTGGAATAGAGATTTTAAAAAAGATAAAATGACCGAATTAGTCCTTTAATAACATTTTTTTCAAGGATCAAAATAGTCCATGACTATATAAAAATATCAATTTGGTCCATTGACTTTTTAAATAGGGACCAAATTAGCCTTCCTTGGGATCACTTAGGTCCCTATTTAAAAAGTTAAGGGATTAAAATGATATTTTTAAATAATCAGGGATCGTTTTGGTCCTTAAAGAGCCAGGGATTCATTTTGTCCTTATCTCTTTAAAAAAATGTGTTCCTGCCTCTTTTTCTCCTTAGTAATTATATTGAAAGAAGAAAATCTCATATATAGCAAATGGAGAATCACCAATTGTTCCCAGTGTTTATTTTCTGATTTGAAAGATAAAGTTATTTTCTGTTTGTGTTTGTTTACTAGTTTAGCATTATCATAGCTCTCCCAACAGATACATGTAACAATGTATTCAGTTTCTCCCTGACGGGATGCTATGCTTGTTCAAGTGCTGATTAACAGAATGTTTTTTTTTTAAGAAAAGACCAATGCAAGGTTCTCTAATATATGCATGTGAAATACAGATCAATTATATACTCTTTGTACAAGCTAAGCTCTTCTTTCTACAGCATCCTACATTTGGGTGATAACATTATGTTTATTAATTATTGAACATTTGCAGTAAAAATTTCAACAGAAAAAATCAGTTGGCTAAAAAACAATATGCGCTTGTGATGATGTGAAGAAAAGTTTCACATTAATTTTAATGAATTGGCATGGACATTTGCAAAGAAGATGGAATGTTTTGGCAAGGCTATATGGTTCTGTTAATGACAATATTAAATGGTTTTCGAGGATTGCTAAATCTGATACCAAATAGTGAAGTCGTAAATATATGGCATCTAGTGATGAAAAAACAAATAGTTTGTTCTAAGACAGATTGGTGGATGGTGCTCTTCTAAACTTTAACTGCAGTGCATCGCAGCAGCAAATTTGTTGTTTTCCTTGCTTTATTTTCCCACGCTAGCTTCTGAATTGAGTTACTTCCCCATATGATAACTTCATGATGCTTTTTTTTCCTACATACTGTAGTAGCTTCAGATATTGACTTTGGTCTGCATAATGTGAAAATTCAATGTACCTGTTTATGTTCAGCTCGATTCAGAGTTTGATGAAATAAAATATTAGGTCAAATGCCTCAACCAACCATATTGTTTGAATTTCTTTCTGTTTGCATGCTTTAGTCTAATGTTGCGTTGCAAACCGGATGAAGTGTTCCCATAAGTTCATTATTTCTGCCAGCTAAAATAGTTCTGACATTTTTTTTTTCCAGGTAAGTTTAATCTAAGTAGGTTGTATGAAAGGATTGGCTTCAATAAGGAGATAATTTCAAGGGGTAAATATGCTGAGCTTTTGGCTGCTGAGCAACGCCCTTTTAGGTGTGGTTACTTTGTAAATACATGAATTATAATAGTACTTTGAAAAAATAAATTGAACGTTAAACTTACAATTCCCTAATTTTTTTTTCTAACTTTGAGTTTGCAAAAGTATAATTTCTGTTTTAATTTTTTTTCCCCCTTAAACCAATGCCAAGGTCAAGTGAAATCTATTTACAAGTGTTAATATCCTATGGCCTATACTACATGTTATATTTTATGCAACTGTTACGTTATTTGTGTGTCACATTGCAATCTTTATTTTGATAAGCATGCTTATGGTTTAAACTAGTTATTTCTTACATATAGTGTACTATTATATGCTCGAGAAGAGCTTGAGAATTGCTTTAAATCTTTTCCAAATAACTTTGTTTTGATTGTATCATTAATTTCTACATTGTTTCGGTCCCTTCCTAGGCAAGTTGGTTAAAGTTTTGGCCGTCTCTAATGGGTTTAGGTTTGTGGGGTGTGTGATTTGTGCTTAGTTCTCAACTTTCCTCATTAATAATAAAAATAATCTCTACATTATTTTATAATGTTTCTTTCAAGATTATTTTTTGTGTTTTCGCTTAAGAAAAGCTACTCCATCGCTCTAGCCTCCTAAATGTGTAAGAAAAAACTCTAGAGTAGTTTTCCTCGAGTTAGATTAGATTTTGTATTAACTAGATTTACCTTAATGTTTAGACTAGGATTTTTCTAGATTTAAAGTTGAGAATTTTTATGGTTTTCTAGGGCTAAATTTTAGTCTCAAGTTCAATATTTAGGCTTGATATGTATTTCAATAATTGGAGAATGATTGATGTGATGGAAGTAGAACCAATTTATATCTCATTGTTTTATCATCCTATACCAAATGATCCAACGTACTTGAGGTCGAGAGCTTTAAGATGTTAGATTCAAAGAGCCTGATTAACAATTATTGGTTGATTCTTCTTAAATATCTCGAGTAGATTAGAATGGATGAATGTTTTGAAGATGTGATTTTAAGTTTGATGGCAACTCGTTCAATATTGTAGTAAATCTTTTTATCTATCCATAGAATCACTAAATACCACAACTGCAAGATTATCTTTTTTTGCTAATTATTGTGTATTCAGTTTCTCACTATAGGGAAGAAAATTGGGCATGGTAGAAAAAAAGGATGGGCTATCTTCTTGAAAATCAAAATCACTTATCATGTTTTTTTCTCTTGTACACTCAATACAGAAGTCTTATGAAAACATCATTATGGCTTAGGGTATTCTTCTTTCAAAACCCTACAACGTATGTTTCTTTCTCATTTTCATTTTATGAATGAAACTAGAAAAAATTTCATTATGAGACTTGTAAAATTATAAACATCATCCTATTGTTTTTTTTTTTTTAAAACAATGATTTTAGATCCTTTTGCTCTTTTTATAATTGTTTGCTATGACATTTAGGGACCTTCCAAAAATCCCCATCATTTGTGCAGTTATAGGATTTTTCATTTTATTTATGATTGTACTCGCATCACATGGGTACATCTTATCATGGTCCCTAAACCCATGTAATAAAATTGAATTTTGTATCATGGTAATAAAATTGAGAAAATAATGCTGACATCAATACTTCGAAATGCTCATGATTATTTTAATCACATTTTATCATTTTTTTTCATAAGATTGTATCGTCTATCAATCCTCCTACTTCGCCTGTTTTGACACTCCCCTACAGTCATTTATGTTCTTCATTTACTGCTACTATGTATGACTTTGTCCCACTTAGTTTAATCCTTCTCTAATAATACTTCGAAATCACAGCCCTGATGAAGAAGAAATTTTTGAAAAATCTGCAAAGAATGCTTACGAGCAATTCAGGGATAAAGCAGCTTTTTCTAGATCTATGACGGTAAATACCGCCCCTTGTTTAACATTCAGGGCATAAATGTATGCACTCTGATATGACCAATCTTGTCCTATTTGTGCTCAGGTAGATGAGATGGAACAGGTTGCTCAGGGCAGAGTATGGACCGGCAAACTTGCTACTTCTCTTGGGTTGGTTGATGCTATTGGCGGCTTCTCTCGGGCTGTTGCAATTGCAAAACAAAAGGCTAATATACCACAAGATAGACAGGTAAATTTTATTGAATGGTCTTACTTCTCTACAGTTATCTTTGCATTATTGTGCAGCTTAAGACAAAATAGGATGCCAATAACTTAGTGCTCTTTTGTTTGCTTGAAGTTGTGGAAAACATGTTTTAAAAAAATGAGAAATTTATTTTTACTCAATCCTATTCGAAATGAGCATATACGGGAAAAGGTTGGAGTAGCTCCAATAGAAGATAAGATTAGAGAGAGTCGCCTTAGATGGTTTGGTCACATAAAACGGCGGCCTTTCGATGACCCGGTTAGAAAAATAGATGTATTATATTCGACTTATGTTAAGAAAGGTAGATGCAGACCTAAAAAAACTTGGTTAGAAAATATTATGAATGATTTTTCTTATTAGATTTAAATGAGAATTTAACTTTTAATAGGACACAATGGAGAAAAAGTATTCATGTAGCTGACCTCACATAGTGGGGTAAAGACTTGATGATGTTGTTGTTGTTGCCTATTTGAAAATAAAATTCATCACTTTCGAGGAAATTTTAGTATATTTTTAGAGTGCAAAATCAATATTGATTTGTAAGTATATCCAACCACATGGAGTCAGTAAAATCTTCATTTTTCATGTTTACCCACTTCAAGCAACTGAATGAGTTCCTGATTGCGAGCTTCTAACTGAAGACCTGTTGGTTGATAGCCAAAATTTTCAACCAATAAATCAAAATGAGCTGCAATCATGAGTATTTTAGTGCTAAAATTTAATATTAATTTTTGAATCCCAGGTTAGGTTAGTTGAGATATCAAGACCCTCGCCATCGCTACCTGAACTTGTCAGTAGCATTGGAAGCTCAATATTTGGCTTGGAGAGAACAATGAAGGAGATGTTGCAGGATGTGGCTTCATTTGGGTCTGTTCAAGCAAGGATGGAAGGCATACTGTTCGAGAGACTGGAAAAGCCCGACTATGCTAATCCAATTTTCTCTCTCTTAAAGGACTATTTCAGCTCTTTCTAACCAAATTGATCTCAAGATCAGGTCAGTGAAATAGAAATAGTTAAAGAAATAGTGGTGCTCATTGTAAAAGTTGTATAGCATCTCATAATAGTCAGAATTTCTGGCAACTTCTTTTGTGAGGTTGCATTCACAATATATTAATTCATACACATTCAAAAATGAAAGGAGAATAATGTCATCATATGATAAGTTAAGTTACCAAGATGAATAAAATAATTAA